CCCTTGTCGGCAAAATGCCGGATTTGCAGATGCCATGTTAAAAAAAAAAAAATGTTTCTAATTTAATTTGTGTCGTATAACATTTCTGAATTCCACTGCGCTCTGGTTTAATCAGCTTTTACAGACTGTTTTACACACACACACACAAGTCAATATTTAGCCAAACTCAATAGCAGAGATTCAAACAATTAAAAGGCTATTCCTCAATCTTGGACAGTAATGACTTGTATTTGAAATAATAAATATCATTAAAGCGTCATCCATTGAAATATAATTGAATTTTCTTTCACCATTAATTCTCACTAATTAGTTTCCAGAGTTTAATGGGGATGTAAATAAAGCTGATTTAATGGCAAAACAAAAAACACAGAGAGCTTGTAAAAGAAAGCCTTTCCCGAGGGTAGTATGGATGGATTTGCTGTTCATAAAAGCTTTTACACCTCCATAAAAGAAGCGAAGCAGTAAGATAACCACTTTGAAGACGACTGCCTAAAGAATGTGCAGCTCACTTGAATTTCTGTCGCTAACACTGTCGTAATGAGGAGTCTGAGAACTATGGAAATGAGTTCTGAGTTGAATACGGTGTGTGCATTCAGGTTTGGAGACAGTGGAGCCAATTTCTTCACATTCCCAAACACTGGCAGGAAAACCATCAATCTTCTGAAGCAGCCATCCGTTCGGCCATGGAACGAAAAAGGAAAAATAATCAATTCATACTGCGTGTATATGGCTTCCAGATTCTACCCCGTCCTCATTTACAAGAGAGCTATCCTAAATTAAGTTCAAGGTATACTTCAACAGCCTGTATCTTGTCAGATGTTTTCCTCTCTAGAAAACCCAGACCCTTAGATGTAAAGTAAAAAACTTCAATAGCAATAAAGCTGAGCTCTATAGTATTTTGACAGTTTGTGTTCTTAAAGCCAAAGATGCTTTTCCTAATTTACCAAACACTTCCTCTCTGATTAGCTTGTTTGTCCTTATGATGCAGCTCTCCTCATCAAAGTAATTACATGTTTTCTTTCACATCAAAGGTTTGTTTTTTTTACACAAAGGAGAAGGAAGCATTATGGCACATTGAACAATGAGCTCATTAAAATGCCTTCCAATCATCTGCGATAATACTTTACAAGCCGTTTCAAAATAAGTGGATGAAAACACTGCAGCAGCACTGCATTAGCTATCAGCCATTTACCATCACCCATTTTGTGTAAAGGGTCATATTTTTCATCTGAAACCAGCATCCCTATGGCTACCACTCAGAGTTTATTTCACCGTTTAAATATGATCAGCATATCATTTTCAGAATAAAGGGTTTAATAAGATGTGATCGCTCCGATATACACTGCATATGGCTGCCATAAAAAAGGGTCAAACTAAACGTCGGCAACAAGCTGCTATCAAAGTGTAACAGGCAGAGTAGAGTTTTACAGCTGCACCTGGAACAGGATCCTGTTGTTCCATTAGATCTGAGACTCTCTTAAACTGCCCTGTCAGAGTCATAATAAAACAAAGCAGCAGCTAAAGTGTTGTTATATTCAGATATGGCCCCGCTGGGTATTGATATATTATGAACATGGCTGCTGTAAGGAAACTACGGCTGAGCAAAGGTATACAAATACAGTACCTGCTAAGCGTTGCCTCAAAGAAAACTGACAACTTAAATGTTAACACTTCATTAATGCACTTTTTGTATTTAAGAAGGGACTGCACATTCATCCAAATAAGCACTTGACTTTGATCAGATTTGAACATATTGACAGGTTGATAGCATTAAAAGAAAACATACAAGAGCACATAAGCACATACAGAAACACGTGGAGAAACACTTCAGTCAATGTATATCGGTCACACGTTCACTGACTTGTGTTGGAGTCTCATACTGACAACAGTGCCCTGGTTTGTGCAGCAGTTGTGTTGGCAGTGAGTACTTTTGCTCGTTGTGTTGGCAGGTGAGGAGAGTGCCGAACCGGGCTTGTGTGTGTCATGTCACATTGAGCTCATCTGTCAACGTACTGGATTATTTCTTGAGAGACCAGAATTGGCTGCCCAGAATCAGGCCGCCATCAATCTTCCGCCGCAGCAGAAAGACGCAGGGGGAAGCTGTGAGAAGCGGAGGCTCATGGGAAAGGGAGCGGCGCCGCTTTCCGAGCAGGTGACGAAGCAGTCAGGAAACTCGTTATTCAATCTCCGCCTCAGCGGTGACTATGCCGATTTGTCACGGAAACATTTGAAAAAAATTAATAAATGGGATACGGAAACTTTATCTCAGCAGTCACATTCTCGTTTTTTTTAAGTATGCACCGTCAGCTCACTGTTGAAGAAGGCGGATGCGCTGATTTCTCAAATATTGTCAGATGCTCCAACAGGCCGAGGGATTACATCTATACTGAGCTCAACATGACCTTCACTTCCTCTTCAGATACCCACACAGCCCCTTGTCTGTGTAGCCTATGTGGGATGCTTTGTGAGTTTTTGTACCACATCTCTCAGACAGTAGTCCGGGCTGCATGCCAAGACCCAAATGAACTTATTTCAGGATGTTGTCTAACTAAATACCATCTCCCAAGTTCACTTCAAACCTTGTATATTGTGTCCTGAAGACAATACATCAAATTTAAAAAAGCAGCTTCACCTATCTTATCAGCACAGACGTCTTTAAATTGTGTAATTATCACGCTTCATTAGCGAAAACAATTGTACAACTTAATTTCTGTATGGTAGAGAGTATATCATACATATTTTCATCGTCTTTTAGAAACACGAGAATAATTTGATTACGGGGAAACAGCAAAGCATGAAAGCCAATGGATTGCACAAGGCAAGACATATTTTTTCCTTTTTTTGCTACGTCCTACATAGCCATATCTATTTATATCTGAGGGTTTTGGCCTCAATGAAACCAGAGAGCTTCTCAAATTATAAAATCAATTCTAATTCAAATATTCATCATAGCATTTCAATTCTGAGAGAGCAGTTCTGGTTAGATCGGTTAACGCCACTCCACGGCTGAGTAAGATTGATGTCAGCTTAATCCTCTTAAAAAAAAAACATGATATACTTAAAATTGTACAGTTTGCCGAGCAGCAGAGAAGGACTGTGTTCTCTTTGAGTGCCCGGTTGTGATAGACAAATATCCCCAGGAAGCCTGCAGATTAGGATGTTAAAATATCACGACACATCCTCACGTTATAATTTTGTCAGCTCCAATTAAGGCTGTCATCCATCGCAGACTCAGAAGTTGTCTAGAGAATAATTGTGTCAAATGACATTTTAACAGACCATCGATCCAAGGTTGATTGCATCTATTCTGTAAATCCTCTTTCGTTTGAATACTTCTTACTACGTCACTTAAAATCGACTGGCTCAGCCTCAAACAAATCTAACACCATGAATGAAATCTGAGACTTAAAAAGACGGAATCAACAGAGTGTGTTTATCATCCATCTGTAGAGTGAAGGCTTGAATGCTCTTAGACTTGACGTGTCCTGAACACGACTCCAGGATCCCCAGGGGTGGATGAAAACGCCACACCATAAAAAGGCCTCGGTGAGAAAATGGTGTGTAAATGTGTGAGCATGTGCATGTCCATACCCGCCTCAGTGTTGTATGTAATGCAGAAAATGTGATCCGTCTGACAGGAAACCTTCCAAAGAACTCTGAGCAATAACTATGCTTTGCCTCTTCTAGAGCTACACCCCGGGTAGTGATTGGAGGGAGGGGGCTCTTATTTGTTCCTTTCTTTCCCTTTGGGACTTCTGCATTATTCAAGAGACACTTACTGAGCCTTGCACTTCCTTGTACATGTTTGGCACCAAGCTCCACTTGCCAACCAGTCAGAAAGAGAAAAAAAACACAAGAACACTGCAAGCCAGCTTTTAAAAATTCATTGGAGCTCTCTGTCGCTCATCCCTCACCCTCTTGTACCAATTAACGGGAACCGGATACTTTGAGAACTTTCCCCCCCCCCCCATCATAGCTTGGATTTTCCTGTGTCAGCTCAACAAAGCAAAAGTATGCCAATTCTGAGAGATGCTGCCTTAAAGTCACCAATGTTCAACACAAGATTGGGGAATTCGTTGCTGGACTTTTTCTTCCCCCCTCTTGCTGTGCTTCAATTACTTGTCTTTTTGCTCGGCAATGCGACACACACAAAGGGGAACCAAGCTGAAGATAGCATCAATGTTTAACAGCTAGCTTGGCTTCTGGAGAGAGAGCCACTCTGTGTTCGGCATGGAGTCACACTCATTGTTAGAAGCTTAAAGAAAGCCTTTGCTTTGCTCAAGAAAACCTTTGCCTTCCCTGTAACAACCCCACATACAAACAGCTGGTAAGCTTTTCCATAATCAGAGAATTAGATCCGCCTCGCCGTCTACCCTCCACTTTTGCCCCTACGGTGCAGGAGGCGTCAGGCGTAATTGCCAAACATTCAAAGTGCAAAAAGGGGGAAACATAATTGTCATTTCCATCTAAGCCACAGTGATCAAAGCTCCCTTGGCTACCAGCACAGTATAAGGATGTTTTGCCTACAGCTCGTCCTACTCGTAACAAGTCTTCCAGCTAATTTCAGGGTGTAGTAGTCAAGATTTCTTTGCTGCACACGCAACGTTTAAATACACTCTTTGTCTCAGAGGATTTCCATGTTCAAATTTCAACAGAAGTGTGCAACTCAGCCAAAGAACCAAAGTGTATCACTGTGAAAAGTACACATATGTAAATAGCACCACATGTTTATGGTTAAATAGATGAAGTATGACTAAACAAGAGCACATAACTTGCAATTTGAAGCACAATTAGCATTCGCTTTTGCTCAACTGTGCGCACGGTGAATCATCATGTTAGAGTACCATACTGTGGCACATCATTCTGACATAATGCAGCAGCCATGTTGTTGCTTTTCTTCAACAGCCAACGATGAGAACTGCTCTCCCCATCAAAGGCAACATCTCGCACTTAAAACACTGCACAGTAAAGCCGAAATCTGTACAAAGAGGTTCACGTACCCAGGGTGAGGATGTCGGTGCGGCCGGGCCGGGCCACATGGTGCTGCTGGATGGTCTGGTAGAGAGTGGCCTGGCACAACAGCAGGAAGCCCAGGCTAATCCACATGGCCAACAACCAGGACATGGTAAAGCCGAGTCTGCAGGAGGCGCACAGCGGGGGGGGAAACCACAGGGAAACATTTGTATTACAGCGTGTCTTCATACATATTTACAGCAGACACATGCTTTAATGTGTCAAACAAAAGAAACATATTAGTATTCTGCTGCATTGTCGGATATAACCAAGAAATGTTTTGTCCACTACAGTATCTCTTCTAGATGTATTTAAAAGGTTTGTGCTTTTCTTACGATAACGGTGGGAATGAAAAGAGAAATAAGATAAATAGGCTTCAATAAAACCCCTGCAGACTCAAACACTCAATCTTTACAATATGTCTGCTTCAAACCTGTTTTAGCCTGAAAAGGACTTGTAGCACATACAAATATGAAATGAAAGTACAAAAAAAGGAAATAATCTTTTACAGACGGCATTATTTCTGTTATCATCCGTTATGGAAATTACAGTTTAATTGACACCAGCAGCAGCGGTATTCCAAATGTTTGTAAAAGATTGAATTTCAAAGCACGAAATGCCTTTTTCAGATTTGTTTAGCGCCTAGCTGATGGCTGCTGAGGGCCAGCATATGGAGACACGCCTTAGCCCTCATTGAATAATGAGGCTCTCCTCCTTTCCAGGTGTTATCAGCGCTTCTCTCTATTCAGGCCCCGCAGTGGGAAATTTAAAAGCATCAGCCCACCTCCTTTAAACTAAACTCTGCTTGGTGTGTTTAGGCTCCCTGCCGACTACTGATTGGACACATTTATAATCCTGTCTAATTTTAAGAAGATTCTATTCCACCCAAATCACTCACTATATCATATATCACAGGGACTGTCTAAATGTTTTACTTTTGTCAGTTTTCAAACACTTGAGTGACTCTGCTGCTCTTATGTGACAGTTTCAATCTTTCACCCCTTTAATGTTTGATTCTACCATATCTCAAAACACAGGAGAATATTAAGCAGACACATGAGCCTCGGGGACTCTCTTCAATATAAGCTTCAAACCATGGATATTTCACATTTAAATAAAAGTATTCGGAGCAGAAATGTTTCAAATGTCTGCAGAATGAAGTCAGGCCTGATCCACTGTGTTGTTTCCACAAAGCATTAAAGCCACTGCTTGCTGTTTACCTCCAACTAGACCACTTTGTGTGTTAATCTGAATATGAGATTAAAGCCATTAGCTACTAAATGTTGGCCCATGTGTTCAGTGCCCTCAGTGACATTGAGACTGCTTAATAATCAGAGAAAATTAAACATACAATTATGAACAGCACATTGTAAATCCCCACCCCTGCGCTAAATCCAACATAATCCGCGGTTTTGTGGAAATGTGAGCGGGTCCCGTGGGTATGTTTTCCATTTCTTTTTTTATCCACACTATTTTCTGTTCAGCAATCTGGCTTCATATAAACATCGTTGCGCTTGCATGGATATCTGCATATTGCATGGATATGACTGAGCTCCTCCCGGTGATCGGAGGCATTCGTGCCGAAAATAAAATGTATTCTTACCAGAGGCGTTTTTACCAGAGGTGAAGACGCACGGCAGACTTGAAATAAACACGAACAAACATTGCCATCGTTTTAAAGGAACTTCGGGAGGTAAGGGAAGCAGCTTTCAGCAAAACAGAACTCTTCCTGTCCCCGCTGCAGCCTCGTGTTAACAGCGTTTGAAAGAGCTTTCAAACAAATATCCATCTTGTTTTCCACTCGGATAAAAATCACAGTAAAAGCAGTTTACTCTCAGTTTTGGAATGTTGCGTAAAGTCATCGGAGGACAGCTTCTTTATGCGTAATTGGTAAATCTCGCAGCGTGGATAGTAGATGCAGTCGAGGAGTGAAAGCAGCAGACACACCTGCAGGCGCACGAAGCACCTGCGTTAAACATGGATCTAACAAAAAGAGTCTTGATTTTTTTGTTTTTTTCTACTGCAGAGACAACTTTCGTGACGATTCCCTAAAAACACGTGTGACTGATCCTCATACAGCAGGGAGATCGAGGTGCCACAGTATTATTTAGGCTGCCATTTTATCGATGCTTTTAACTTTTTTGCATTTCCTTAGATTAACTGCACTTATAAAACGTCTTTAAGCATTTTGGAGTATCATTATAATGTTTGTTTTACATGTATTACTTGTATAACTGCTCAAATGCAATATTGGTTTCGTGATATTTGGGGTGTTTTAGTGGAAGATCTTTTTTATATTTCACTATGCATAGAAGTCGTTATCTAATCAACTCAGACACATTTTTCTTCATTCCTAAAACATCCCCCACCCTCCCTGTCCCCAAACACAAGAGGTATTCCTTGAAAGTCTCACACCCTTACCTGAGCAGTGTGTTCAGGAGGAAAGGGGCTCAGTCGAAATCACTGCCTCCCTGCCAAGCAGTCTTACTTCTCAGTCTTAAATCCATCCATAGTTTGAAGCCAGTGAATCTCGCACCAAATTCCAGTAGCAGATAAGCCAAACACGGCAGAAAAAGGGGCTATAACGCAGTTTTTTTCTCTTTTTTTTACCTCCGCAATATTCTCAGTTCAGCTCCTTTTGGAAATCCTTGGGCAACACAATCACCAAAAGCACCCAGTGTCACAAACTGACCAGCATCTGAGTTGATGGCAGGCTGATCATGTCACTGCTGTATCAGCCACATGCATGCAACATCTCCTGTCCTCTTCTTCCTTCAGTCTGTGTCTATCCCCCGTCAGTAGAAGTCCAACGTTGTGATGACAGGGAGCTAATTTACCCCCCCTTCACTTGTCGGCTCCTTCTCACGCGTGCGGCGGAAGGCTCCAGTGGAATGACTGCTCTGTCTGCTCTTGGCTGCGTCCCCCCATTGAGAAGCTGTGCTGATAGTGTGAGCCTCAGTCCTCTCTCCAACGCACTAAGTAGAGAGTCTGTGTTAGAGAGGCAGAGCGAGAGAGTGTGTGAGTGAGCGTGCGTGTGTGAGTGTGTGTGTGTTTTACAATGTAGCCCAGCTGGAAAGAGAGAGAGAGAGCTGAGAGAGATCACATGTCTTAAAGCAAGACTGCCCACTTCTGCATCAAGACTTCATCAGCAAATGAGGAATGCTTTATTAACCCACCCCTCTTTAGATCCCAGCCTCCCAGACATTGAATGTGTTCTCCATCGGCACATGTGTGTGAGTCTGAGAGGGTGTGGGGGAAGATGACTGAATGTGCCTTTTCTTTAGTCATCACCCGGCAGCGTTTAAGGGGTGAGAGTGAAATATGCTCCAAGCACAGCACTTTTAATAGAAGGCAGCGTGCCTCATCACGGCGCTGCAATCACCATATTATCTATTACTCCTTCTACATGCTTTTTGTGGTGAGGAGCCTGGATTTGTTTTTACGGCCTGTTCTTTTTGGAGGTTTTCTCACCGCTCAAACACACTTGCACCTGCAGCGGCAGCCTGAAAGAGCCTGTGAGCATCTTTCTGTCACATTCCTCACAAACTGAACCTGCTGGCTCTGAAGGAAAGGACAGCCACTGTCTTTTGTGTATGTGTTAGCGTGGGTGGTTGCACGTGTGTGTTTCCGCTGTGCCTGAGCCATGCAGGCAGGTGAGAGGAACCAAGTGTTGTTTTTGTTGATTAATCCTTTTTTCCAACACATGTCCTTCCATGTTGAGGAGCTCCCCTTCAACTTATTGCACTGTTAACCGGAGATGTACAGTATATGACAATCCCACGCACCTGCCACAGCTGACTCACTCACAGTCTGACATTTCACTGAAAATGAACCCTATGCTACTCAAAACAATACACCGCTGAGGGGCTAAATAAGCTGGCAGACAGTGAGGATGGTGCTGGTATTGTGGGGGAGTGCAGACAGATGAACTTGATGATGAATATCTGGAAACACTTTGTCCTGGAGCTGGAACTGCGTCCTGATTTCTTTGTATGCTATGGTTGTGTCAATACAGTTTGTGTATGCCTTGCAGTGCAACATATCCTTGTGACTCGGTGTGTATGATATCTAACGTTATTGCTAATTATTTCGTATGTTCAACAATACAAATTAACTTCTGCTTCATACTGTCTTTCAAAAGTTAACTTTGAGCTTTACAGAACATAACTTGGTCTACTTGGTTAGGTTTAGTAAAAGAGCATGGTGCTGCTATCACCTCTGCTTGTTCTTTAAACACCAAAGTTAGATTTGACCGCCAAATGGGCACACCCCCATAGAGTTACAATATGCAGTGTACAAAGAAGCTGATATATGTATATAACACAATGGAGGAAGAAAAGTAAGGGAGGGTTATTATTTCTTCTGTTTAGTTATTCAAAGTGTAATGGGAATACCCGAGTGGATAATGTAGTAGCTGTAAACCGAGACCTCCTTTTGTGGTGATAAATTGGAGGAAATCATACGAGTTTTGCAGCAGTTATTCCTGTTTTAATCCATGTGTTGATGTGTTTTTTCAGACTGCGTCCTTTGTGTTCAAATAGATCTGCAATAATCTAATGTGAATGCAGATATGAATAGTGAAGCTGCCATCTGGATCTCTGTTGGGTTAAAGCACGCCACATGTTAAGTGACCAGTTTCACATTAAACAGGAGCCGCAGAGTAATTAACACATTGATTACTGCTCCGACACTGTCAAGCTTTATTTGCACACAATGGCTTGATTACCAATAAATTGGCTTATTTGTGTTCGTGCACATTTGTTGATGTTCCCTTTTGTTGGGAGCATTAATTGCATGCACGGTTGAAATTAATTTTGTCTTAATGTCTCTATGATCTGTCCCATTGGACTGAGATGAAGGCGTGAAATGAAACAGGCCCACAAACAAGCCTCAGAGGAGAACTTAAGATTGAAGGCATCCAATTACTACATGTTCATTTCAGTTCCGATGTGCTGTACCAACAAAAGTCTCCCATTTGTATCTTAATTTTTTTCCGTTTGTTGATTTGTTGTGGTCTGTGACTTTTCATTCTGCGTCAGGCGGAGCTGTGTTGGGAGAATGGACAGAGACAACAGCATTTCACAGTAATTCTGGATTGTTGTCCTGGTCCCTCTCTTCTCCGTCTCCCTTCTCAGGGGCTTCCATCATTTCCAAACAGCTGTCGCTACAGCCCGTGCCAAGTCCTAACCACAACCGACCAATCACTGGCCAACTCTGTGTTTGGATCTGGGCAGCCCTGTTAAACAGAGAGGTTTGCCAACATCGCTCACTTGCTCTCGGTCTTTCTTTCCCATTCTGTCATTCCCTTTATTTTCCATTTCTCCCTCGGGCTAATAAAACTCTTCCTTCCAGTGGAGCCAACAAGCTTTAATATGCACCCGGTAGCTGCACCAAAACCATTTCAAAACCCCATCCGTCGCTGGTCTCCTGTAAAATATGAGCCCTCGTCCACTAATATTTCTACATACGTCTCAACATCTCTCACTGAAGCAAACCAAGCATTTCTTCATTTGTCGAGGGGAGCTGTTTTGTTAGTGAACCTACTCTCGGTAGACACTTGCTCCATAAGCCATTCTATCAGAGAGGTAGAGTGATACAGGAAGGTGGAGATAGAGGGAAAGAAAGAAATTGCCAAGAAAGATTAAGGCAGGCAGAGAAAATTCATTTTGAAGAAGTATGCAGCGGCAACTCTTGCTCATCGGTGGATGGTGAAGGGAAGAAGATGATTAATGCAATGGAGGAACATGATCTGTAGGAATCATTTATTTCACATTTATCTGAATATCCTTTTTTAGCAATTGGTCACAGGTGCACTATTGAGGGGCCTGGCTTCAAGGATATTGTCGATTTTGAACAGTGGACTTTTACGTGTATAAGGTACTCTAAGGTTAGTGGATTTACAGTTCTCCACACATAAACCTCTCTGGCTTTACCTTCAGCTTTTCTCTACCGTCAGCAAATCCTGGGAGAATAAACACTGTTATAGTCAGTACAAACCCTACGAGGAAAACACAAAAGCAAATTGTTATTTTATAGCCACAAAGATAAATGATTTTTGCTGTCGCGTCCCTAATTACTTTCTCATTTTCATCAAGAGGGAAATTCAAGTCAGTTCATCACTTACACACTTCACTCTTCTATAATTGGGCCATTTTGAATTTACTAGTATTTATTATTAAAAAAAAATCAGAAGTAGTGTGGCATATCACTGTATAAAGCTTTAGGGAGGAGGTTGGGTTAGATGGTTGGGCATACTATATGTGTGTCTGTGGTAAGTTGCTTTTTTTATGCCATGTCCTTAGCCTTCACCTGTCATCTGTTGGTACAGCTGCCCCTTAGTCCTATTAGTGCAGGGCGAGTAGATAGTAACCTGTGGTCCTTCTCTGCCAGATTGTGTATGTTGTCTTGGCATTGCAGCCTTAAATTGTGTTTTGCCTGTGCCTGTTGTGACTTGCTTGCTTGTTATAGCCCTTTCGATTTGTTTGCTTGTCCTGCCTGCCTTCACACTGCCGACCATAATAATGCCTCTACACAAGGTAAGGACTGTTTTCACTGTGGCTGCATTGTCTCTGGAGTGTGTTCTTTGTTTCCAGCTTTGTGATCAGCTGTTGTACTGTCAGTTTAAACACAAACCTCTGTTTGGAGACTTCTAACAGTGAGATGGCGTCAGGCCTCAGTGACATTGATGCAATGGTGTCAGGCAACCTAAGCTGCCTGCTGAAGTCCACATGCAGCAGCCAGTAGGTAGCTTGAAATAGTATATTGTTTTGCACCCTGGACTGTGGGTCTACTGTGGACCCGCTTCGAATCGACCCATTGAATGGCCATTATCACCGTCCTAAATAATAATTGGAAGGGTGCTGCTAAGCCTGGAGGTTGAGAATGCCATTATCATCTATTCACATGGTTGCTCACTCACTGATACAAATACAACAAGGGGTAACCTTTGTCAACCTTAGACTGGAAGAGAGGAGGAAGTCTGATGACTTAGTAAGTCTACTTAGGGTGGGGGAGAGTTAGTAAGCATGGATGGGCCAAGCAGGCACAGGATTTGATCAGAGTACGTTTCCCCTGTTAAAACTGAAAGTCGAAGTTAAACATGACCTTGTTTGGTTTCTGGGCAATTTCATTATTAATCTCCTTCTTGCTACTGATGCTTGGGCTTGAGTGGACTTTGAGGAGTCTCATACTTCTCTCAAGTGGTTGGTTTACTGTTGATGTTGAGAGAACTTAACTTAACTAACTCTGCGAATTGTGGCGTTCCTCTGAGTCCGGATTTAGGTCCATTTTGTGATTGTTTCATGCTTTTTTGGACAAATGATCTATAATCAAGTTTCCTTCCACTACTTAAATATCAATATCATCTGCATATGCTGCCCGAGATGTGGGCATATTTATGGTGATGAACATACTACAAACATTTTAAATCTTGGCAAACAAATAAGACGCTGTCACTCTCTGCATGCTACCCTTTCATAACAAGCAACATCTAATAATCCATCAGAAGCCAGGCTCTCACATCAAATGGTAACATTAAAGTTTGTGAACTGAGCAGTTTATTTACATGTCCGAATGCCATTCAGTAAATTATTTCTTAAATTGCTCAATCAAAAGTATTTAACTATACTCACACTAACGCAGCGTCCACACGGCGGCGTGCGTTGAAGCTTGCCGGCGGGCGTGTCTGAAACTCGACCAACAACCAATCACATGAATCTCCCGCCCCGGACACACAAGCACGCGGTTTGATTGGCTAGAGCTTGTACTGGCATATGATTTGATTGGCTGACGCTTCCGTCGAAGCTTCAAAAGTTGAACATTGCTCAACTTTTGAAGCGAGCAATGCGAGCAATGCGAGCAAAGCGACGCGAGCAAAGCGACGCGAGCAAAGCGACGCGAGCAAAGCGAAGCGA